TCAAAGCATGAGCAAGAGAGGGCGCTTTGTCACCAAGCAACTGCTCCCTGCCTTCATCTTCACACTGCTGGTTGGCACATACCGTTCCCCACTACTGAATGTTCATATCAAAGCCTCTCTCCATTACCGTTCAAACAGGAATCAGCTGTCGGCTCTTACTTTATGCTCACAGTGTAGTGGGTACTTGTGAATTGACCAGGCCCTTCGGTGAAAATGGATTGATTTTTGGAGGGAGGTTGGAAGCTTACAATCGGTCAAGTAAGATGAACAGCAAACCCACTGAACCTTCCCCATCAAAATTGTCAACGAACTCACTGTGCAAGCATAGAGGAAGGACATAGCAGTTGCAACTCAGGCACTTCAAAGTGTTCAATGATGGTCGCCGCCGAGTCAGACGAATAATAGAAAACATTCCACAAATGTCAGATTACTGCCTGCATTTTAGCCGGACAAGCGGGGCCAGTAATGTCCCAGCAATATTTGTAGTTTTTTGCTTCGAATTAAACACAATTACTGCTTTGACCAGGAAATAGAGAGAGAAACATCCCTGATATTAGACCTACTTTTGTCATCATGAATAAACTTTTAAAATTTTGATACACTGTTCCATTATCACTGCAAAGTTTGTACTTTTGTTCTCCTCCGTCCAATACATCAGTGTTCAAAGACTTGGTACGAATTTGGCTAAGACTGGCCAACAAAATTTTCACTACTACTGGACAGCTTAGTTCATTAGGATCACAATACGCTGTTTCATCACAGGGAGTGATCGTGAAATCTTATAAAATACGCTTTTGTACAAATGCCATAATAAAAATGATTCAAACAAAACACAAAATCTTGTAAACAACCAGGCTATTTATTCCCATAATAACTCCAGAAGAAAGAGCTCGTTAAGGGCAATGACTGCACATATGATTTATGGCACAGAGCGTAATGCAACCAACTGCGCAAGCATTAAATTTGATGTTGTCATGAGATCCACCAAGCACCAACAAAGGCATGAATATTCAATTTCCTATACCTCAGTACATGAAGTTTTAGGGTGCAGATTACTATTACAAATTGCGGCGGCGATCATAGGGTACAAAGGAGTTTCATGGTTGCGTAGCAAGCGTTTGCTGAGCTCTTATACGTATACAGCAAGGTATGAGACGGAGAGAACCCCCCCCTGTTTTGTGTTGGTAATTGTCTCCCAGGAATCTGGGGAATTCCTTTCAGACATCTTGGGAGGATGCGTCAAGTAACAATAGTCTGGAATGTGTATAGGGATTGGACATGTTGGGGGGTACCCCTCGGTCTCATTTCTTGCTGGGTATATGCGCTCTGGCTATGGACATACCAGGCATGCCAGGAAGCGGTAATTGGCCAGATGTTTACAGCTCGGGCAGTTTCGAACATTTGAAGCAAGATATGGGACGGAGAGAACCCCCCCCCCGCCGTTGTGTTGGTCATTGTTTGATCGGAATCTCAGGAATTCTTTACAGACTTTGGGGGGGGGGTGTTAGGTAACAATAGTCTACAGTATGTATGGGGATTAGACAGGTAAGGGGAGTACCCCTCCGTCCCATATCGTGCCTGCTATAGTTTCGAAACTCCTTTTGTATCCTTCCTCTATGATGCAAGTCTCTCTGACTTTTACTTGAATATCAATATGTTAATGAGATACTGCTCGTGGGGCTAGAGCCTACTCCAAATCGTGTTACCTAGTTGCATGAGGTATCTTTACAACTGCAGACGATGACTAAAACAGCTTAAAAATCAGCTAACCTGAGATAGGAACGCTTATTGGTGTACTTAGTAGATTATTTCGACAATGTCAAAAGCGGTGCTAAAATGATAATTGGATTGAACCTATCGGTAACCTTGGATTCAAACGCGCTGGATGTCTGTTCACAGTAGAATCATACCAGCCAAAAAAATCAATTTCCATCATAAATCCACATTTAATGACTTTCAACATTAATGAATATTGTTCTCTTGAACAAGCTGGCTTCGTGAATTTAATTACAAATTTGGTTAAGAGCACTCCAGAAACTGAATCCATTTTGGAGTTTCGAAACCTCTTCAAAGACTGCATTCAACTCATTTCCTCCATCGAAACAGAGCTGGGCATTGAGTACAATGGTTTTGTTGGCTTCTGAAGAGCTTCCTCAAAACAATTACAAATGACCAAAGGGTGGGGTTGGTCGGCATGTGTGACCAATACACACAACCTCGAGCGGTCATATCGCCTTTGGTCACCGCTATGTATGCCGAAACCCATAGGTCATGCACGAATTACTTGGCTACGGCTTGAAATTACACACGACGATATGGGAAGTGGCCACAGCCCTTACCATCGACTCCTGCGTAATTTCTAGCCGTAACAAAGTAATTCGGACACGGCCTTACTGTGGCGCCTTTTAAAACACACGATGCACGTATACCAAACAAAACGTATTCCCAGTCGTCAGACTATGGTCTGGCAGCGCACTTAAAAACCGTGCACGGAGGGGATCTGCAGTCCAGGATACACTGACCCTTAACCCTTCACTGCTTCGCCACGAAGCACATCCCTATAAAGAGAGGATTGCGACGAAATGGCGCCACAAAACAGAACATAAAAAGTGGCTTTTCATTGCCCTTAATGAGTGTAAGGGCATTACGATCACTGATCTCGGAGCAATAATTCTATGAGAAACCACTTGACCTCTTTCTACCTTTTCCGGTCAGATAATTTTTGTGGTGTCCCCAACTTGTTAACGACCCCTACCATGTAATCAACTTTTTTTACTCATGTTTTGTACCCAGACGTCCGCTTCACAGAAAACGTTGTCATACAATAGGTTTATGTGATAAGTATCTTCAGCTGACGCTGCCTGATGAAGAATCATATAAAGCACCATCCACAATCTGTATTCTGCGATATTTTTAATTAAGGTAGTCACCCGTAAGCCGGGTTGCTAGGGTTCAGCTTGTATTTAGTAGAATGCACGATTTCAGTGTGGTCTGATAAGGAAAGATCTCCCCGCCTTTTAAGCATTCCCTGTGACAATTCATTTTTCAGATCTGGAGTTATTTTGACAAATTAGTTTTAAAAAATGACTGTGTCATCCTTTGCGCGATTTTGATTCAAAACTAACCCACGTGTATAATACTAATGGGAGTGTGTTACCGTGCGCAACGTCGCCAATTAGAGATTCGTTTGGTCTCCAGGCTAGGCTCCGCTGGTTTAGCCATGTTCACAGAGTCCACCGTCGGTTTTCGTGTTGAAGCTGGTGCTACGGTATACCACGGGGCGTATGTACAGCAGTGCGCGCGTTAGACTTGGTGAACCGGCTTTCAGAGCGACTCCTGAACGCCGGCATCAGAAGTCGCAATGTACATGCGGGGCGCGTATGCAAAGGTAGTACATGTACTTTATAATTGCTGTACCGCCCACGTCAAAAGATCATAGGATCGTACGTGGCCTATATGTCATTTTGCTCACGGCTTTCTGATGGAACGCAGGATGCTCGAGGATTCGTGATCTTTTCCCAGATTAAAGGCTTCTGACGTTGGATTTCGGGAGAAACGGTGAGTACAAA